CATTTTTGTTTGGCTGCTGTGGTTTTTCTGGACAAATTCTACGTTCAGTAGCTTTCAATTGCTTTCTAAACGGTCAGCTCACGGTACCACTGTCGAAACCAACGCAAGACTAATCGTCCGCAGCTGGAATAGAAACCCGGCACCCCGGCATTATGAAGCGTGTTCACGACGCCTAAGCCACAGACGCCGATGAACATCACAGTAAGCGGAAAAATATAGAACAAGCAACATGTTTCACTTATCTTGCGCAAATAATAAATAACAGGTGTTGGCAGAATGGAACCAGAAATCGAAAAGATAAGAATGGCTGAAAATATCTTCAATTAGATATGAAGATTTATCGACAGCTAGTGAAATAAACAATATATTGAAAATGAGAACTGTCAGATGTTTTCTTCTTTTTCTTCTTTTTCTTCTCTTTCTTTCTTTCTTTCTTTCTTTCTTTCTTTCTTTCTTTCTTTCTTTCTTTCTTTCTTTCTTTCTTTCTTTCTTTCTTTCTTTCTTTCTTTCTTTCTTTCTTTCTTTCTTTCTTTCTTTCTTTCTTTCTTTCTTCTTTCTTTCTTTCTTTCTTTCTTTCTTTCTTTCTTTCTTTCTTTCTTTCTTTCTTTCTTTCTTTCTTTCTTTCTTTCTTTCTTTCTTTCTTTCTTTCTTTCTTTCTTTCTTTCTTTCTTTCTTTCTTTCTTTCTTTCTTTCTTTCTTTCTTTCTTTCTTTCTTTCTTTCTTTCTTTCTTTCTTTCTTTCTTTCTTTCTTTCTTTCTTTCTTTTTCTTCCTTCTTCCTTCTTCTTCTTTCTTCTTGTTTTTGAAGTGCCCATTGAAAACGGATTAGGTCGAAACGTTGGATTGTTGTTCATGCTTGTGCTTTTTATTTCTTTTCCTTCCACCACCCCCATCTCTACCCCCACACCCTTTCAGCTTTTATTCCAACTAACTCATATTTGTGTGTGAGTCTTCGTACTGGGTTTTTTTTTTAACTCACAAAGAAAAAACATAGTTTCGAATCTGTTATTTGTCAGATATTGCTATTGTTCGACCCAATTAAAAATAAAACTGGATACTCGCATGAATTAAACAAGAATAGACCCACTGCATCCCCAGCAAGCATATCGTAGGAGTTGACTAATTGGGGGCATCATTCAAGGTTGGAGTAAATCTGCCTGAGAGGTAAGGAACGAAAAGTCTGCATACAAATCAGTCAGGTCTGTGAAACGGTTGTTCATGCAACACTCGGATTCTGGAACAACACTAAAGTCCGGAGGTGGACGAACACCCAGAACTTTTTGCTGGAGTGTAAAGCCGATGAACACAAAGAAGTAGAAGAAGCATTGTTGCGCACGTAAAAAAATCCCTTGGCAGTTGAAAATCGAAAAAGAGTAGCTTAACGGCGCTGCCCGGGCAAAATTTGGAGTTAAAAATCTACCCAAAGTATTTCAGGATCCTCGCCGGTGCTACAGAGCCTGTGAACTATGCTGAGCTTCTTCAGACTCAGACTTGAGTTAGAAGAAGAACGGAGCACTTATTGGTTACTGCCCGTGTGTCATGATGTTGATCCGTTGTTCAACAAGCAGAAGCCCACTTGTTCGTACTGTGCCGGGCATGCTGGCAGTGTGAATTACCCAGTGGTGTGAAATAATTTGTGCACCAAAGTGATTTCATGTTCAATAGTCCCCAGTTCCGTGTCGACTGTCATTAATGCACCCCGGACATGTCCGTAGGTACTCGGATCTCCTCAGTAATCAACACATCATCTTACGGTAACTGGGTCTCTCCGGTGCTGACTGATCGCTCTCTGCTTGGCATTGGTATGGTATTCTTTTCTGGATACTAGTCTTTCAGATTTTTGCAGTTAGAATGATGTTGACTGCAACTGAATGGTTTTAGTAGTAGCTGTTGTTGTACTACTGCTATCACCACCACAATCACCACATCCACCACAACCACGGCTACCGCCAATGCCACCACTACTGCTACTAGGGACGGATCGTTTTTAATTACACCAGCCGTCTCATGAAGCCAGACTTAATAAAAGCCTCAGATAATATACTCACAATAATCTTAATAAAAGTAGACAATTTCTTTGGGGGGGGGGGGGGGGGGGGGGGGGGAGTGTTAATATATATTTAAAGAAAAATTTCATTTTAAATATGTTTGAAAATAAATAAAATTGCACTTGTGGGGTAAAAAACACGACTCTGACACTAGTAGGTAACAGTAACTTCATAGGGACCATGGAGTTGTGTTGCTGGTCTTGAGAACAGCGTCGGCTGTGACTAAAGTTTAATGCGGGAGCGGCAGTTTCTGCCGCATAGTCCACACAAAAACGTTGATAATTTGTTATGTTCGCATTGGTGACCGGGTCTCCCATTACCTTGCAGGTAGACGACTTCGTCACCGGTTAGGACAGTATTGGGTCTGTTTAATTGATTTGTGGCATTCTGCTGTTTTGTTACTATACGTTCAGCCTCGCTACAGGAGATAAAATGTTGGTGTCTCAGGTCACATGTCGCTAGAGTTGGCCTTCCTGGACTGTTACTAGTTCAACTATACATGGGATTTTTTGCCAGCGATGACACATGTCCCAGCCAGCGCAGGCGTATCTGCATCAGTGGAAAGTATATTGTTGGCATTTCTGCTGTTTTGAGTACACATACGTTGGTGATAAAGCCTCGCTATGATATAAAAAGTAGGTGTCTCATACAGCGCATGTGGACTACTTTTACTGCCGCTACTACTTCTACTGCTGTTGCTGCTGCTACTATACTACTACTACTGCTGCTGGAGTTATGACCACAATCGTCACCACCAGCCTACTGCTATAACTATCACTACTACTGTAAGTACTACCACCACTTTTACTATTACTGCCACACCACCACTACAACTAAACTACTACCATCACTTCTAATACTGCCAATACAATCACCACCACAGCTACCACCACTAGTACTACCACCACTAGTACTACCACTGCTATTACTAATACTAATAGAAGTACTACCTCTATCAATACTACTATTACTACCACTTTTATATATAAGCTACTTACACATAGTCGGCGTCTGTGGCTGGGATGCCTGTTTTGATCCCAGCTGCGGGCGATTTGGCAGCAGAAAGTCTTGCATTGGTATCGACTGTGTCGCCTAGAGCTGACTGTTCAGTAAGCAATGGCAGGCTACAGTATGTAAAATTTGCCTAGAAAAAAAAACATACACCACAAAGGCCAAAAAATGCTGGGGCTGGTTCTGCAATGTCCTGTAAAGGATACACAACTAATTAAACATTCACATACCCATAGGTATAGATATACATACTTCCCTGTACAAACTGAAATTTAAATAATTCTTATCAGCGTACACACATACATACATACATACATATTTGAACACATGTGCGCACTTATGCAGGTAGCACATAACGCACATACCCACACACCTAAAGATATAATGAATAAAGAAGTTGAGAACTGACATTCTCTCAAGTCCTCCATCGCCTTCTTCAATAGCCAGCATATTGATGGTGCCAGTGACAACCTGATAGACAGACTGCTTTTCTCTTCACCTACCGCTGAGTGTTGTTCAGATTCTCTGCTCAATGTCTGCAGTCAGTCTCAGCTGTTATGAGTATTCTGTCTGCCATGTCCATAATGGCACTTACCACTTACACATATAAATATTCACTCATACACTCTAATACATACATACTAAGATACTGATGACTGACTGAAGAATCAAAAACATAGCATTTTCTTTTTCTTATAGTCCATACCGTGTGGCATTGGTAGTCATGTCTATTCACAACCTTCTGTCTCATGTTCTTTCAGTCAACTCTGACGCAGATGATTCTCCATGGCATGATTTAAGATTTTCTAGTATCTTTTCTCTTGGTCTCCCTCTGGCTCTTCTCCCCTCCAAGTTTCCTGCTGTCACAATGTATTCCAGGTTTCTCCTTCTCATGACATGACCAAAAAATGTAGATTGTCTCTTTCTGATGTGGGCAGTAAATTCTCTTCGTGAGTCAGTTTCTTTCAAGACATAGCATACTGGGCATTTACACTCACAGATGCTTAGTCTCCTACAGAAAATGACATAAGATGTAGATCCTGTGAGTGCTCCAGTAGAACACTTGTGGTACACATTTATACTTTTTCTCTCATATATCTTTTTTATTTTTTAATTTTTTTATTTATTTTTAATTTTTAAATTGTCTATAACATTTATCCTGTAAGCAGACAATCAGTTTACTCATCCTGCTTGGATCATTGGGGTTTGTCTCCTTGATGGCCAACTGCTGGGCACGCTCGACAGTGTCTTTCCTCTTCCTGCTGAAAACATTGTGTGCAATCTTAGCAGAGAATGTGTGGTTCTGCATCAGTAAAACTTCCAGCTCTTTGACATAGTAACTAGGAATTTCTTGAAGCCATGATCCATACTTTATTCCAAATTTACATATCTTTACACAGGTTGTTTCATCTAACATATTATCTTCCCATTTTTGGCTGGGTTGATCTGGGAACCGATGTCATTTTTGCAAAGTAAATCTGGCCTGATGTAGGGGCAAACTGAAGATCATCAAGTCGAAAGACGAGTGTCTAGCTCAGCTTTCCCAACCTTTATTTTGCATGCCATTCCCCCCTAAGCTTTTCTAAAATTCTTCACCATATATGTAACTTAAACTCTGGACAAGTTCATTTACAAATAGCTTCCCTTAACAATCAGATTGCAACTCTTAAAAATCAAATTGCCTCCTTAACATTCAAATTGCTTCCCCCCTCCAGCCTCCCTGTGGGGTGTGGGCCCCACGTTGGGAAACTGGTCTAGCTACTATGCTACCATTCCTCATTTAGATTACCTCTTTTGGCTGTCGAGGAATTTGTGAATTCCTTTTCAAAACCACATCTCACTGCCTCAAGAAATTGTTTCCTTTGTTTACTAATTATTTAATTTTCACAATTAGATGCCCAAACATTAACATGACAGATACCTTTGTCTCCCTACTTTTGCAGATGTCTGATTAAAGATTTTGAGCAGAGGCCATTTGCAAGCGATCTTCTGTCTCACCCATTTATTGAGAAAGTACCAGCCGACACATCCAAGGTGAGGCATGGCTGTTTGTTGCTTTCTACATATAATTTCTAGACTATATACCACATCCTGGATAAAGAATATTCCATGCAGTACATCTTTGTCATCCTTTTCTTCATCATTTCCATCATCATCGCTGTTACCATTGTCGACGTTAAGATAATTATTGCCTGTATTATTATCATTTAATTTTTTCAGAAATGACCTTGGCTCCCAGGTTGACCCAGCCATAAATGGGTACCAGGTACAATCCTGGGAAGTAAAGGCAATGGTGTGATGTTGACCACATCTCCCACCAAGTGTCGGTCTATAAAATATAGGCCTCGTCCTGTATGCCTGAACACGTGAGAAAGGGTTCTTTACTTTACTGTCAGTATCATCAAGTCATTGTGATCTTCAAGATTAACACAATTTTTATGTCATTCTTATCATTACCATTGTGAACATTGACGTGACCAATTTCACGGGTAGTGAGCAAACTTTGGATCTTTTCTCCAGACAATGCCAGCGTAATGGGTAATGAACAGGCAGAAAGATTGGCTGGATCTGCACCACTGGGTGGTAAATTGATACATGACAAGGCAGATATGGTCAAGGCTCTTTGAGAGCAAGCAACAGAAGCAGTGGAGAACGAGTCGGGGAAACTGTGGAAGCTGCATTCGTTTGACATATCTGACTAATTTGTATGCAGACTGCTGGTTCCTTACCTCTCAGGCAGATGCACTCTGACTTCTAAGGAAGCTCCCAATTAGTCGACTCTTACAACATGCTTTTGGGTAGGCAGGCAGTGGGTCTATTCTTGTTTTCCCTATCATAGGGCCCCAAAACCCACACAGGGTAAAGGCAACTGATATATATGGAAATGACTTATGGACACTCAGCTGAGTCGGGGAAACTGTGGAAGCTGCAGAGATGTTTCATAGAAGAATGGTGAGAATAACAGATAACAAATATAATAAAGATATCGTGACGCATAAAGAGAACTATTAACATCGGATGAATGCCATCCACATCCTTTGTGCACACTCTTAAAAAAAAAAAAAATTAAATATGACAAGAGAAAGGCTAAACGAGGAAAGGATAATGGATGTTGGATAGTTTGGAGTCATGACATTGAGTGACATCTGTATCGGATATGATTATCAGTTGGCAAAATAAACAGTGCCAAGATCCTTTTGGTTTCGATTCCCTACCCCCCCCCCCCCCCCCCCCCACACACACACACACATAAAACGCAATCTTACACATATCACAAGAAAACGCTAAAAATGTATAAGGAAAACCGCCAACCAAAGCCATACAGATGAAGGGAAGTAATCAATGAAAACAAATGCAGCAGAGAATTAACTGGCCTATGTCTCTTATACGGAACAGAAGGCTGTAGGCTCAACACGATGACCAGTGTCACACAGTATTCACTTGAAGAAGAAAGCTGTGTCCTGGCTGCAACAATAGGCGTTGATTGTTGATCATAGAATATGAAGAAAATGCTGGCACAAGATAGAAGATTTTAACAATTGTAAAAGTTCAACAAGTTTAGGATATGCTGCTAATGTTGTCTTACAATACATCAAAATGTGATGCTGAAGTGATGCAATAACCATAATTTGTGTTATCCATTTTCGTCCTTATTAGGACGAAATTTTTTGTCATTTGAAGCCCTACCCTGGCTTTTGCCAGGGGCCGCAATATAGGCAGGCCATACATATGGCCAAATGTCTGAACGCGGTTTCTGGGACCTCTCCACGGCGATCCTCATCCGCATGGTGGCACTTTGTGTCATCGGGTGTTTATCGCTTGTGTGATGTCCTGGTGGGGTAGAAAGTCAGTCAGACCTTTATTTAACCCTTTCACACCATTGAGGTAGAAACAAAAATGCAAGATTCCATGTGTTTCTTAATTTCCCCCCCCCCCCCCCCCCCCCCCCCCCCCCCCCCCGCCGCCCCCACCCCAAAGAAAAAAATCCCATCAAAATTTATTTTGTATACCTAAGTTAGAAGAAAAAATCACAACAGTTCTGTTTACAAGCAAAAGCTTCTAAATGTTTTGATTTTTTAAATATTATAATTTCCTAGTCAAAAAATAACCCTTACTGCACACCGAACCATCAATACTTGGATCTATTCCCCGTTACCTTCAATTAGTTAATCAACAGATCTCCCTTTACTGCACTTTGAACCATCAGTGCTTGGATCTGTTTCCCTTTCTTCTTTTTCTTCTGCCTTCTAACCCACAATAGAGAATGGGCCCTAAACCAACTCACCTCAAGTCGTTCTATCCTTTGTTATTGCATACAACTCTCCCCATGTCTTCCCCATCTTTTTAACTTCACTCTCTAGGTCACTTCTTCATTTTTTTCTTACTTAATTTCTATGCCCACAGGGTTCCGGTGCAAGGACCTTTTAGTTATTTTGTTCTCAGGTTTTCTAAACAGCTTTTCTGTCCAACGCCAACGTCTTTTCTTCATTACCTTCAGTTAATTAGTTAGGAGATCTCCTTTACTGCACATTGAACTGCTGCTATGGAATTTGTGCACTATGCTAAAATTCTTAGGACTCAAGCTTTAGTTAGAAGTAGAACAGAGCACTTATGGGTTACTACCCTAGTACCATGATGTTGATCCATTGTTTAAACCAAATCAAACCAAGTGTAAGTGACAATACAAACCATCAGTCCATCAGTACTTTGATCTCCTTATATTTACCTTCATTTTGTTAATTAGTTAGCAGATTATTCTCACTGCACATCAGACCATTCAACCGATTACTACTTTGATCTCTTGATTATCTTTAGGTAATAAATTAGTATCATCATTACCGCACATTGACCCATTTAGTCTGTAAATGCTCACATCCTATCCCCATGGCCTGCAGTATTGGCACATATTAAAAACCTTAAATATTTGCTACAATTAACACAGCTGAAAGAGCAACTTGTGAGCCTTACCCTAGCCATGGAAAGGAAAGTATCTATACCAGATGTTACTACCAAGCATGGACAGTTTAAGTCCAATCGTAAGTCCAGGAGGGACATCCCAACAACTGTTGAAAACCTGGCACTTCTTGAGGTTCTAGACGAGGTAGGACTTTGTATTAACTTGTTTGTTTAATTCATGAAGTTATTTTTTTCTTCTCATTTATTAACCCTTTGAGGTAATAGAAAAAGTAGGACATTGTAGTCAAATGTTTATTTCATGTATGAAGTTCTTAGTTTCTCATTTATTAACTCATTAGCCCACTCAGCACTGATTCTGTCAGCCATGCACATTCTTCAGCTCATTCCTTTCCTTGTTTAAATAACAAATAAGACCCTATATATAAGGATGCTTGGATTTGGATTCAAGTCTGATTTCAGCCTGGACTGGTGTATGGACATGGCCATTGAGTTAACTTTTTGTGTCGATTCCTCCCCCACCAAAACAGTGGTTGGCACATTCACTTTCTGGGGACAACATTTATCGAGTTTGCTTTCTAGACAGTTGCAGTCCCCTGCTGACGAGATTCTGTCTTTCTGAGTGGGTCATTGAGAAGGCAGCTTGGGCATGGTCGAGGCTGCTAAAACTATCGGTCATTATCCTGCCCCGACATAGCCCGACCACAATACACGCTGCCGTCACGAAAAACACATAGTAGCCTGCTTTAGAAAGGAGCACAAAATAACAGTCCATGATAAGAGAACAGAACAGTCTGAGAGAATTCACAACCAGCAGGGAAAAAACACAACTGCTATTCGTCATTTTGAAAACAAAAGTTACCGAAATGGTGCATGGAGGGTTGAATATTAGGTGGATGTTACTAAAGTGATCGTCATCCACACCTTAATACATTTGCTGGCCTGGAACTAAAGTAAGAAAGAATTAATTAGCATTTTCAGAGAATTGAGAATTGGGTGTGCAGGCCTGTATAACATTCTGTCTTTCTTGCCTCACATCTTTCATGCATAATTTTATCCTTTCACATTTCAAGAAGATCAATCAAACAATAACAGTAGCAGCAACAATAAATTAATTAATTGCAAACAACTGGAATGTGCAACAATTATTCCTTCATAGAAAATGTATGTTAATTATTAGTGTTATAATTGTAGTAAGGCTTGGGGAATTATACCATAGGATATAATAAACAAATGCTCTATATGCAGTGATGGATCATCTCTGGGTGTACCTAGAGTTTTTTTTTTTAGTGTTTTAGTGTTCCAATGGCAAGACACTAATGTGGCTGCTTCAAGATACATCAGTTAAGTGATTTTTGCGTATTTGTGTGGTTTTATTTGATTAATGCATGTACTGATGAAGGCTCTGTAACCGCAACGTTCACTTTTCATTTGTATTTGTTATTTTATGAAGATGGCTGATCTACTTTCCGTTTGGTTTCCATTATAGAATTCTTTAATGTTGTAGTTGTTTTGGTAGGAGGAAAAATATGACTATGTTCACTCTATATCACTGAGAATAGCTTTGATTATAATTGTGATCTGGTTTTATTTGTGCCAAGTTCAATGGCTTAAATGTTGCTGTGATGTCACACTAAGACCCCAAATCTGTAACTAGTTAAGTAGATATTTACAGAATGTCTTCTGTGCACCATTTAGGCAACAATAGTTGAACAGCTGTCAAATCGATACGCCCAGGACGAGATCTATACGTACATCGGGGATATTCTGTTGGCTGTCAACCCATTTGTCTCGTTGCCGATCTACACAGATGAGGTTTGTTACAGCAGTTCTGCCATACTTAATGTTCAAATGCATTAAACTTTACTTTAATTACTTGGTCGACTTTGTGTTTTGCAGTTAATTAGCAGGCTCACTGATTTTACTTTTGATCTTTAAGAGCACATACAACACAATGTTCTTACATCGATCCACCCCCTTTTCCTTCCCCCTTCCCCCATTTTATGGAGTAACTGGATAGAGGAAGTGAAGAAGAAGAGCAGATTTTGTGATTGTAACTGACTTACAAAGCCTGCTGAAAAAGGCGGAGACAGGTATGCTCCATGCAGAGCGGCACACATTGCTTCAGAGGTACATAGTAGTTAGCATCCTTTGAATATTTTCTATAGGGCATGCAGATAGTTTGGGAAATGAACAGGCAAGTTAGACTGGCTGGTTCTGTACTACTCGGTGGTAAACTGATGCATGACAAGCTAGATAGGAGCGAGTGAACAGTGCAGAGCCACAACTGGATTATCACGGTTTGAAAAGAATGGTGCAAATGGGAGGTGACCAGGAGATGTGGCCGAAACTCCAAACTCAGAGGAAATCGAGACGGACATACAAACAGACTGCTAGTAGTACCAGCGGAGTTGTGACACTTCATTGGCTGCTGAAAATGAGGGACAGAGCACATTTGGGAACACCCCAAGTGATGTGATGTCGGTTCTTGAAACTCAACTCAACACAACTCACTCAACTCAGCTTCTTAGTAATCTGTAGTGTGAACAAAGGGCAACAATTGGATACAAAAGTAATTACTCATACCACATTTATAAGAAGAGGAGTATGACAGGGATGTATGTTGTCCCCATCCTTTTCAACTTATACATAAACAAGCATTTTTAAACAGGTTTGATAGTTTTTTTGTGACTGAGCATCAATGGAAGAATTATGAACAGTTTTAGATATTCAAAACAATGTTTTCCTGCCTTCTTTTTGTTCTTCCTGTCAGTGGTTTTCAGATGAGAAGGCCACAGGTCTCTATGTAGTCGGTGGTGTGACATGCCTTCCACTATTCCATACAGTTTGGTCTCTATTGAAATACCAGCTGATCAAACTTGGGATGTAGAGAACTTGTCTATAGCAAATGTTCAGAATCCTGTGGTGCCTGTCACATGAGCAGAGTTCTGAAGCCTCAGTCTTTCATTTTGTTTTTCTGTTGTAAATGTAAATATTGAAGACATGTACAGAATATTGTAGAACAGGGCTTTTTTCGCTGCATCTTACCAGATAGATGCATTACTGCAGAGCTTACATCAACAAATAATGAAGTACAAAACTTGAATCCTTTTCACTGAAATACACAGATCTTGTTGTGTCTTGTTATACTGTACATACATCTCACCATGGAAGTCTAGGTTTAACCACATGATCTTAATATAGGATTTTATGTCTAGATTTCATAGTAACGATCATTCACTGCAAATCTGAGGTGTCTAGATATAACAGTAACTAATTTATTCACTCTGAAGGTATGGTGTCTAAAATTCCCACTCATAATGAATCCTGTTCCCCATACAATATGTGAGTGTCCAGATTTAACTCCCATACTAAATTATATACCCTAAAATATTGACAGTGCTCATATGTCATATTAACACTAATGAATGAATAGTTATAAGCAGAAATAGAACCACATGTATTGCCTTCTTTCCAACAACAGTACGTCAAGAGATATATGCACGCTATGAAGGCAGATAACCCACCACACATATTTGCTGTGGCAGACCAGTCTTACCAGATGATGATGCACAATGCCACTAACCAGGTAAGTTTGTACCTAGCTTGCTGTCCTAATTCTGGCATTTGTAGTTGAGCCTCAGAGGTTGTTGATGTTTATTGTTATCTGATGATGTGTATTGTTACATTTATGAATGAAATAACTTGTATACGAAATGACATCAGAAGGGTAGAATATAAGACAGAACTGCCTGTCTGGTTCTTAGTTCATTTACTCTTTGTATCATCATCATCATCATGTGCCATGCCATTAAGCATAGGCTGTCAAGTTTCACCATCTCACACAATCACCAGAATCACGGATCAGGTCAGTGTTTGTGTCTATTTTTGTCTTGCTTCCTTCATATGGCCAGGTCATTCAGGTATTTATCTCTTTGCCTTCTTCTTACTCTCTTTCCATCAAACTTGCCTGTTGTTACCAAGTTCTCAAGTCAGTTTATTCTCATAGCGTGCAAAAAACACTTGACTGTCTATGTCTATTTGTTCTGATGAATACATGACTTTCAGCTGTCTTGATGAGGACTGCTTCGTTTGTTTTTCCATCCCTCCATGAATCCTTTGCATTCTTTTTAAAAATCATGTCTCTGCCTCGAGTAATGTATAGTGTTCTCCTTTTCATGTTTATTATTGTTTTCTGTTATGATACTGGTTTCACAGAGAACCCTTGTAGTGATTTGATACTGGTTTCACGGAGAACCCTGGTAGTATCATATTAGATACTGGTTTCATGGGCAACCGTGGTAGTGATGTGGTTGGAAAAACAAAAAAAACAAAATAATTGACCTTGACTCCCAGGTTGTCCCAGCTTGAAATAGAGACCAGTAAATGTCCTAGGAAATAAAACAGTCATCGTGACCAGTCATTTTTACCACAGCTCATACTGAATGCTGATTAGTCTATAAAATGTGTGTTGAGTACCATATGGCAGAGTTACTAGTTGCATGATAGGGTCCTTTACTTTACATATTCAATGCTTGTGTTTATCTGAACACACATGCAAAAAAACGCTTGGGTTTGAGAGCTGTAGATGTTATTAAATCATTCATTGAAGCCTTACCCTTTAACACAAGAAGCTGCAAACCTGTCACTTTCAGTAGTAGTAGTAGTAGTACATTTTACCCCACTAGGACATCACACAAGAGTTAAACACCTGATGACACAAAGTGCCACCATGTGGATGAGGATCACCCGTGGAGAGGTCCTGGAAACTGCGTTCAGCCATTAGGCCCATATTTATGGCCGGGCTATATTGTGGCCCCTGGCAAGAGCCAGGGTGGGGCTTCAAAATAATGAAAAATTGCATCCCACAGGAGGATGACTGTCATTAATAATGTCACTTTCAGTTGCACCTGTACAATTTTTTTAGGAGTACTGGGAATGATTAAAATTGCTAAAATTAGAATTTAGGTGAGGTTTTCTTATATATAGATTATATCATCATAATTTCCTATTAGTTTTAGTGGTAACCCGGTGACTAGGTCATGGGTTCAAGAATGCGTCATACATACATTTTATTTAGGTCAGAGAATGAATGATTGAATGAATGCATGAATCAAAAATTGATATCACTGCCCTTGGGCCATTCTCACAAATGTTCTTTCCCCTTCTTCAGTAACCAATGAAGAGTTGACATGCAAAAATATATTACCGGAGCCCTGGAACCCACATGGGAATCAAAAGTAAAGTGACAGGCTAAGCACCTGAAGACAAATCTAAGTATTAGCACCTGAAGAAGAGAGTAGGAAACCTGTTAAAACATTTCAAAATTTATTGCTTTCTTGGTGACTGCAGTATGTTGTAAGAGGTTCAGACTCAAATGTAATCATCACAGATATCTTAAAGAGACAGTCATCATTCTTTGGTCACATTATGAAAAGAGGACAACTGGAACATGCTGTGACAGCCAACACAAAGGTGTGGGTACTCACCACCAAGTGCCTAAAAAGGTGCCGGTACTCATAACAAAGTGTCTATTACAGTAGTGCTGAAAAAATTAGGCCTAAATAAAGGAGCAGGTACTGTGTACACAGTCAGCAAAAAATGGTCATGGAAAAAAAAGGTAGAGGAAAAGGAGATACAGTTCCGAACAGTTTTTATCATAGAATGGAAGTATGTCAGCTGGAAAGAATTATGAAAAAAAAGAGACAAAAGATGAAGAAGACAAGAGAGAAGATTCTTGACAGCTTTTTGTCATAGTATGAAAAGGTGTGAGGACACAAATTGCTACATACTGTTGGAAATCACAAAAAGTACAATAGTTAAGCATTGCCCACACAAATTAGCAAAGCATTTGATGATGAGGCTGATGGTGATAATAGTGACCTTGGAGGGGGACTTCGGGGGGAAGTGGTCAAGCCATTTCCTCACCCTGTGAAGGTTGTGGGTTCATTTCCACGTGCACGTAATTCAGTTCACAAGTGCAATTTTTACAGCAATCCCTGGGGATCGTTGCCGGAGCTACAGAGTTCATGCTTTTGTGACACCTCGTGCCATTCTGCAGAGAGAGACCGAGCCACATGGATAACCCGGTAGATCCCCTTGACTTAAAACTGTAACCTCGCCTCCACAGGCCAACATTGTCTCTCAAATCTGATGTGAACAGTCACACAACTTGTACTGACAATATGTTCTACTGTTGTATCCTCAGTGTATTGTCATCAGTGGGGAATCTGGGGCTGGGAAAACAGAGAGTGCTAACTTGCTGGTACAGCAGCTCACACAACTAGGCAAGGTAAATAATAGTGAAGTCAAGCAACCTTTTCCACACCTTCAGGTATATTGGAAATATGTATTTATATTTATTTTTGGGGGTTGAGTGGTCTCAAGGTATGGGATCCCCCCCTCGAGTGCTGGAGGTTCTGAGTTCAAACCCCGGTGAAGACTGGGGTTTTTTCATGTGGACTTCTATCAATTTCCTCCGATCTCTGGGAAGTAAGATCGGACACACGTGTGTATTGTTGTGCATGTACAAAATACCTTGGCAGTTGGAAATTGAAAAAGAGAAGCCTAATGGCGCTACCCGGGCAAAATTTGGAGTTAAAATTCTACCCAAAGTATTTCAGGATCCTCGCTGGTGCACAGGGCTCGTGCACTGCGCTAAGATTCTTCAGACTCAGGCTAGAGTTAGGAGCAGATCAGAGCACTTATGGGTTACACCTATGTGCCATGATGTTGATCCGTTGAATAAACATGAACATTAGGAATATAGTGCTAGATCTATAGTGTATCGAACCTATAGACCAGCCCCTACTCCTTTAGGGGAGGTAGTCAACAGAACGCTGGCCGCCTTCACTTACTAGGAATTTTACCTGGTGCTAGTTTGAGGTTGGGTTGACCTGGTTCCATTCAGATTTTAACCTACAACCTTCAGGTCCCCAGGTGAGTGTCTAGCGGTTACACCACAGCGGCTCTCATGCAATGTAAGAGCGACACTCAGATTTGGTTTCTTCTCCCTTCTGCTACTTTTCTTCTCAGTTTGATAAAACATTCTTTCCAACTCTTTACTTCTTTTTTCCTTTGCTATATTTCCCTTTCTGATCCCTTCCTTTTTCTTCTTCTTTCACTCTACCTCCATTTCTTACTTTTCTTTCATATCCTTTGATTTATTTCTCCTTTTGCTGTTCTTCCTTACTTTCTTCCATACTTTTCCTTCCAAACCTTTTCCTTATCTTTTTCCATTCAGTACTTCCCATCCTTTTTCCTTTTTTAAAAAATGTTTTTTCCTTCCTTGCCTCCATTTCTGTTCTTTTCTAACCCTGAACTTCCTTTCTCTTGTTATTTATTCTTTCTTTCACCGTTACCACTTTTCTTGACCACTCTTCTGCCACTCCATTACTTGTCATGTCTTCTTCTTTTTTCTTATTCACGGCTATGAACTTTGGTGGAAAGTTCTGGTTATTCGCTCAATTCTGGACCTTACTCTTGTTCCAGAACTTGAGTTTTGTCTGCACATCCGTTTTACAGATCTGGCTTGTTTGTAAGCAGACATTTGGTTCCTGGCCTCTCAGACAGGTGTCATTTGTTCAGTGCTGTCCAGTGCAGTAAGACTACTTTACGATGATTATCATCACGAAGCATGATGATAAGTGTAGTCGGTCATGGTTTGCCATTCCACGTTATCACCAGAATCTTAGATCAGGTCAGTGCTCTTGACCTGCCCCATCCACTTGTCTGTATATTCTCACTTCCTTTCCCTTGCTCGTTTTTAATCAACCTTGACGGTTGTCACCAAATTTCGCCTCCCTCCTTTCACATAATTAGTCAAAAAACATTGTCTACACCTAGTTTCTCTTAGCAGGGTACGGTTTTCATCCTTATTTAATCATAAGTTCTAATTTGATATTTTTATAACCACTGTTTTCTTTAATTGGCAAAGCATATATAGTAAAACCTAATTAATATGAATTCAAAGGGACTGGAAATCGAGTTTATGTTAAAGCAATTTGTACTAACTGGGGACAGATAATAATACATTCCTGCTGGAACAAAACAAGTGGAGAGAGAGAAAGGATGGCTCAGGATCGAATTGAGTGGCAACAGTTTGTCTATGTCTTATGTGCCTCTGGGCGCGATGAAGATTGATTGCTAGGAGCAAAAGTTTGTTCATGTTAATCTAGTGTTCTTTCTAAGTGAGTTTGTGTTAATGAGGTTTAACTCTAGTTTTATTTCCTATTCGTCTTATAGGTTTACTGTAATACATAAATGTATTGTATCCTTAAATTATCTGTTTTTTCTTATATTCATCTTTTGAAGCAGGACAACCATACACTGTGTCTAGGGACTTTGATCATGTTCATAAATGCTAATGGTACCAGCTTAGAACTTGTTCATCACTATCTCCATCATCATCATCATCATTATTGTCATCATCATCAGCATCATCATCATCAAGTGTCTTGCCAACTGGAATCGATGATTATTTGTCTCCACATCTTGCAGTTTCCAACAGTAAGGGGGAAGGGGTCACACACACGCATGCACACATGCCCCCCGCAACTCGCATGCAAGTATGGGCAAGCTTGAACTTGCACCATTTCACAGTAAAAGAGCAACACCTTCATTTTTCAGGCACCCAACCGGACACTAGAGGACAGAATACTTCAGGTCAATCCTTTGATGGAGGCTTTCGGCAATGCAAAAACAATCATCAATGATAATTCCAGTCGATTTGGAAAGTATCTGGAAATGTTTTTCACATCTTCATCAGGGACAGTTGTTGGAGGTGAGGAACTTCCAAACATGCAAATGTTGTTTTTGAATCTGTAAATTTGTGTAGTTTAAAAGAATTTTTTTATTTAGTTTTGAGCGTCTTTGCCGTTAGGTGGGGTTGCCATGGTGGCGTTGCGGCTAAATCCTCACCTCTAGTCTGAAGGTCCAGTTTTGAATCTTCAATGAATCAGATTTTTTGGACCCAGCTTAAAATGGGCACCAGGTCAAGCGCTGGTAGGTAAAGGCAGCCATCGTGATGATGACCAACCACATCAGCCACTGGGTGTCCATTGGTCTATAAGAGTCTGAGTCTGGCATCATTTGCCTGATGGGCCACTGGTATAAAACAGGTCCTTTACTTTTAACTGATTGGTTGGCTCTGTCTGAGTTGCAGATGACCATCCTGTGGATCAGGCGGACGTTGATAATGCCTTAGAGAGATAGGATGATCAGTGGATTTTTTTAAGCAGTCCATCTATATCACCACTAAGAATTGGAGAATTGAGAGTAAAGATTGGCACAGCCTGGCATGAAAGGCATACTGGAGGTACAAGTAGTCATATCAACCAGCGTAAGATGCACACATTAACCACAGGGTGCTGCTGTATGTGTTGAAAGGGGAGTCTGAGCACCTGTGGATGTGTCATAAAGATAACCTGACCCATAACTTCACTTTTAATTAACCCTCAGATGATTTCTGATGAGGTCATGGTGAAGGTAACTCCAAAGTAGATACTGCTATTGGAGTGTAAGGTCTAAGACAAAACAACACAAAAAAAGACAGTTTGTTTGAGTGGAGCCTTTCTCAACGTCAACTACAACAGCAGTAAGAAACGGCAAAATGATGTCGCCACCTGTCCCCACACATAGTAAAGTAAATGACCCTTTTTCACGCCTTCAGGTGTGTTGGGTCTATAGGGCTAGACCTATATTTTATAGGCACTTTGCCAGCCGCCTTTACTTCCCTGGACTGTAAATGGTACCCACTCAAGGCTGGGTTGACCTGAGAGCCAAGGTCATTTTTTGAAAGTCTGACCCCCGTCATAACTTGAACTCACAACCTTCCAGTCCACAGGCGAGTGTCTAGCTGCTAGACCACGGCTGTCCCCAAACATGAATAACTATATTGGAATGAATACTCACTTTTTGGATTTTCATATCGACTATACCAAACCCGCATATTCAATTGTTACTGTACATGTTTGGTAGAGTTTCCTTGCCACTAGTGTTTCAAGTTTCAGTTTGTTACACAAGGTTGTCTGCGTATTCTTTCTATTATTGTTATTCACACAATTTCTTCTGCTGTCATACAGTAGGATACTTGATGGATGGACATTTAAACCTAAGCAGCAAAACGGTATCAGTCTTGTTCGACACACGTGGGAACCAGGTCATACAGTAGGACTTTTGGATGCTGATATTTGAACCTGAGTTTGTCAGTTAGTAGGGTACTCAGCCTACAGCCTTCACTCATGTTTTAAATGAGTTTTTCATTTATGTTATCACCCATGCACAAAGAGTGGATTGACGGGTGCCAGAAGATCTATGCACTGCAACTCTGGGATCCAACTCTAATATCCTCTGCCAGCGTGGTCTAGGTATATATAGACCGTTATCCAAAGCACGAGTTGTGCATGAGGATACATACAACGGGCACTGAGCCTGCTGGCGCCTGAGATGAGGTACAGATCTTCTTATACACATAACAACTGCCTTAACTTTCCCTTACGCCTGTGACTGAAATCACATTGCCATGCTTCTTGGGATTGAAACTGAATCACTGTCTGCTAATCAGAACAATTTACTAGTTAATCATCATATTCTTGGTTATGAATAATATAAGTCTGTAAGTTTTTCTCATATTTTATTATCATTTTCTTTATCTTCATAGTTTTCTTATGTTATCCTTAGTTTATATTATACTCAGCTTGCCTGTGTTATTCTCACCTTCTCTATATTATTCTCACTTTATTGTCATCAGTCTATGATAATCTTAACATCTGTTTTATTCTAAGCTTCTCTGTGTTGTTCTAAGTCCCTTATGTTATTCTCAATTTAACTTTATTGCTTCCAGCTAAAATAACAGAGTACCTGTTGGAGAAGTCTAGAGTCATCAATCAAGCTCCGTAAGTTTCAGTGATAGTGATGATTAGGAATATTGAATGTATAAATATCTCTTTGCAAACGTTAATTTTTATTGTATGTATAAATATCTCTTTGCAAACATTAATTTTTATTGTATGTAAAATTATCTCTTTGCAAACATTAGACTTTATTGTGTGTGTAAATATCTCTTTGTAAACATGACACTTGGAATATTTAACTCCAATATTAAATCACTACTGTTATTCAGAGCTGAAACATGGAGAAACGCTGAAAGAGTTACTTTTTAAGTACAAACATACATTAACTGGTGTCCTAGGAATAACTAAAATGGTATGAGAGGAACAGCTTATGTAGAGTTTAGGAAGAAAAACAAACAAATTCCAATGAATCAGGAAGTGAAGCAAAGACACGTCATTGTTCAGGATACTTGTTGAGAAAACATAATACCATAGCTAGGAGGTTCCTTCACTGCAGCTGAAAAAGCAAGAGAGTAATGAAAGAAAAAGTAAATCTTTATTACAGTTGCAGAAAAGAAGGTTGAGGTTTGTTGTTTTTTATTTTTGTTTAGTTTTGTAAATTATACTTTTTGCAGACTACTGTTGTAGGTCTTGATATATGAGCCAATTCTTCTCCTCATCACTTTTCTCATCCCAGACAATTCTGGAAGTTCATTATGCCTATTTTTATGAGGTTAGATATTCTTTTTCTTTGCGGGCACCGACGTAAAGTTATAATTTATTCATCTCTGTTTAAACCACTGTGGAAAGCAGGTGAACAATGGACCGAGCTGATATTCTGAATACCCTCTGATCACATAATCAGGTAATGGCGGTTCCAACATCAGAGCAAACCTGTCACCCCCTAGTTGCACCTGTGCCAACAAAAACCACGCATATGCCTATCACTGTCTCTTGTGGACTTATAGACACAGACTTAGTCTTGACAAAGCCAACAGTATAAACATGCATGAAATGTATAAGGCAGTCGTCAGAAGTGCCAGCGCAATCAGTTTGGCACTAGAAAGCATCTCTATCGTAGTAGTTACAACAAATCAGTAGTTGCACATGCAGTTAATCACATAAGGCACCACCAGTTCTGTGGAAACAGGCCAATTGACATTTTCTGAATCTGTAGTTCACAACACAAATCATATAAAATTAAATCTGCAGCTCTCAGTGTCATGCCATGCACTCAGCTCAATAGCTGGTCAACAAAACTGTACCTTCAAGTCCAGATGTGAGGGAAAATTAAACAGCTAACCACAGTCAGGAGCAGATAACTTGCCACAACTAAAAACAGTCAGCTTGTCTATCTGCCATATTGGATGGGTTGATTAAATTAATCAAGTGATGACTAAAAACTGAAAGCATTGACCAGACTGCAGCAACTGCATGGCAAATTGGATGAAGCCTGACAATAGCTCTATGTGAAAAGGCCAAAGAAGAATAGCAAACCATTATAGAACTCGTGTGTTCAGTTTGACTGAGTGGTTTTATGTGCATGAGGATGTAACCCATTGACTAAGTAGATAATTAGCTAACTGAACTTTCTCACAGGGGAGAGCAGAATTTCCACATCTTCTACTATATCCATGATGGTTTGATGTCTAGCGACAGGGAGGCGGAGTACCATCTGAAGCCAAACACGCCGTACAAGTCAGTGGCTTTCTTTATTTTTCTTCATTCTTTGTTATTTAGTAGTGTTATGTTTAATGTTTTACTTATTTTTATTAGTGGATTAAAATATTTAATAAAATAAGATATAAGATATATCATATAAAATGGTATAATTTAATAGAACAGGGCTTATTTGTATGCAGCTGTTAAATCCTCGCATCTCAAGCATATGTGCTTGGACTTTATAGGAAACACCTATTCCTCATTTAATTCTAAGTTTATGTTGTATTTAATACTCTATTGATATGATACAGACTTTGGTAAAAATGTTTGGTTGTTTTTGTGTGCATCTTTTCCTCCTGAGCTTTCTAGTCACATTTTATGTTGCATATGTAAGTATCGGCCTTGTGAGTTCACTTTCTAGTTCCATACAGCTAAGCCTCTCGACACAAGGCACTCTGCTTACTTTTCAGGTACTGCCGCACCTCAAACCTGCCCACTTCCTCACACTGATTGACTGTCCTGAACCATTTCTGTGCAGGGTTCTTCTGCACTCTCACTTCCTCGGTTAACTCTCTCACATTATTCTTCTTTACTGCCTCCAGATCCACACAGGCAGTGGCGGTATTTGACCCTCAGTACCTCCCTAGTTGAGCCAGACTTTTTTCAAAAATGACCTTGGCTCCCAGGTCTACCCAGCCTTGAGTGGGTACCAGGTGCAGTCCTGGAAAAGTAAAGGCGGCTGACGTGATGCTGACCACATCACCCATCTTGTGCTGATTGGTCTACAAAAATACAGGTCTAGCCCTATATGCCCTATACGCCTGATGGCGTGGAAAATTGTCCTTTACTTTTTTTTTTTTTACCTCCCTAGTTTCTTAAAATAAAACGTAATGTTTACACTTTTCATTTTACAACCAAATAAAACCAGAAATTGATTAAGTATTCACAATTTGTGACACAGGTACATTTCAGAATATACAAATAAGTCTACAGTGATCTCCTCCGTGTCCATGAATCGGGTCAGGTTCAAGGCTATTGAGTACTGCTTTGAAATCATCGGCTTCAAGAATGAGGTAATGTTATAGATTTTGACCACACTCATTACTTTGATTTGTTGTTGCACATGCAAGACAGAACATCTGTGGCTTTACCAAGATTTCAATGATATTATTTCTCAGAGTTTAAAAGTTTGAAGTCGAGAGGATCACTTCACTGGACCAAATTTCACCCTTTAGGGTGAAATTTGGTCCAATGAAGTGATCCTCTCGACTTGCTCATTTTCTCATTGTAGAAAGCCATGCTACTTGTTGAGAGCATCACACAAAACACCAGCTCTAAAGTTCCAGACATGATCCTTAGGAGTCTCTGCAAACAATTGCACTTATGGGTAGGATGATGCAGTTCATGAAACGAACCCATGGCTTTTAGAGCAGTTCTTCAGTTTTCTAGACAGCTGCTGCCTGCTTTATGCTAACTAATTTCCAACAATTATTACCTCAACACAATATACGCCAGTTATTATTAAAATAGAAGAATGTATCGTAGACAGTTATTATTTTCGCTTTTTCTTTTTCTTTGCTCTTACCAGCTGTAGACTCTGGCGGAAAGTTCTGGCTTTTGATCACTTTCTAGACATGGTCAAGAGTTTTGCCTGCACATTCATTTTACAGAACTAATTAATTTGTAGGCAGACTGTTGGCTCTTCATCTTTCAGGTTCTTTGACTTTGAAAGAAACACCCCAAATTAGTTGCCTTTAAAAGCATGCTTGTAAGGATGCAGTTGATCTTTCACCCCCCCCCCCCCCCCTCCCTTTTTTTAAAAAGGACCCCTGGAATGCATATGATGAATTACATTAACATAATCTCTTCTAGTTTAGGAGGCACAGATAGATCATTACTGTGTGAGGAGTTACCAGGGGATCTGGCAGACACTCAACACTCAGGGAAAGGGCGAGATGGAAAACAATCAGGCAGTTACTGGTGCCATTGTAATTGGAACTCTTCGCTTGCTGCTAAAGATGAAAATGAAGCACTAATGGGAGTGTCCAGAGTGCTGTGATGTAGATTCTTAATTCAACATTCAACATTCTAGTTTTTTTAATTTTAAACATTTTTTTATATTTCTTTAATCCCAGAGGTTTATTACCTTAGCACAATTAATTTTAAATGTTATGGTATATTTTTCTACTTAAGATAGCTATTACATCAACACAATCTGTTCTAGTTATTACTTAGTCCATTTTTGAAACTAATACTGCATTAACACAGTTAATTGTGACTATAGACCCAGTGACTATAGCCCCTGTGACTGTTGGCCCACTTACATTTGTTCCACCAGGTTGGAACCACTAACCTAACACTGTTTTATTCTCCAGCTGGGGGAGGTGGAAGCATGGACTGACACACCCTACATTTTTTTTTGGGTAAATTCCTATTGCTTCACAAAACAGATAAGGCCACACAGAGAGATGAATAGAGGCAGGTGATGTCTGCGACAGTGATCCTCAAGGGCTTAGGATGCTGAAGAAGAAGAAGAAGACCCTCTTTTCTAGTGATTACCTTGACTCCTTCCTGGCACTGCACAATTGTTAATTAGAATAAAAGTTACCAGGGGCTACAAGGGTTTAATGTGTGAATTTCTTCAAATGATATTTTATTCTTATCTTTCTTATAGGAAGTGACTTCTATCTACGCCATACTGGTGGCCATTTTACATGCAGGAAATATTGAGTTTGTCCCAAAAGATTCTGGATATGGCGAGGAATCCTCCAAAGTTTCCAACACAGATCTCATAACTATAGGTAACTTATTGGTGTTAATGTTGACATGAGTCCAACTACTATTTCTTCTATTTCTTCTTCTTCACCTTCAGTGGCTGTAAACTCTAATGGAAAGTCTTGGTTGTTCATCTAATTCTGGACTTTGGTCTTGTTCCAGAACTTGAGTTTTGCATGCACATCTCTTTTACAGGTCTGGCTTATGTGTGTGCAGACTATTGGTTTCTTGTCTCTCAGAGGATCTAGCAGGAGATAACTAAGAAGTTAGTGTCCTTTTCAAAATAACAGGTGGTAAACAAACATGTAAAAAATGAAGATAAAGAAGAGTTAGCGGAACCATTAGCAGTAGATACCATTCACTATTCCATGAGGGAGACAGAATATCAATAGCTTTACCAAGATTGAAGTGACGTTATTTTTCAATGTTTAAAAGTTTAAAGTCGAGAAGATTTACGTCATTGCACCAAGTGTCACCTTGCATCGCTCATTCTCCCATTGTAGAATGTCAAGCTACTTGCTGAGAGCATTGCACAAAACACCAGCTGTGTAGCTTCAGACATGTTCCTCTATAAAAATTGCACTTCTGGGCCGAATGACGCAGTCCATTAAACAAACTCTTGACCTTTAGAGCAGTTTTTTTTCCAGCTGTTTGTCCGCAGACCACTGATGGAGCTTGGAAATATTGGTGTGGGCCACCCAAAATTTCTATCTAATCATGTAGCAGAGCATGTAATTTTTGTGACACTGGATCTAACAAATAAACAGCCACCTACTTTTATTTTTACAGACCCAGACACAATATTACTGTTAAACAGTAAATAAAGTAAAAAAAATAAAAAAATAACAAAGGCTGCCCTCTTATACCCTAAAGCAGTGGTTCCCAATTAGGTAATACCCACTGACCACATTTAAAAAAAAAATGTTTTCCGCATAGCGCATACTTTTTATTTAACATTCGTATAAAAAAAAATGGTTTTTAAAATAAATTTAAAAAAAAAGGGAAACCTATTAGAATCAGTTATTTTTAAACAATTTGAAAACTGGGGGAAAAAAGCTTCACAATTTTTTTCTTTTTAAATTGATATCATGGACCCGTTAAATTTGTTCCCGGGGGTCAGAGGGCCACTAGTTGAAAACCACTGCCCCAGAGAACAGATGCCCAAATTTCTTTGACAGGAAAGCCCTTGCACCAGACAAAATATCTGTTGGATGACTCATAATAGAGATAAATTTGTAGTCAAGAAAAACATATACGTCTACCTAATAAATTCTTGGTGTATTATGACCATGTTGTTAAGATCTTTTAGGATGTTTATTTCTTTTCTTCTTGGTATTCTGATAATCCTTCAATAGCATTCTAACCTGTTGTATATTGTGACCACAGAGGACCAGTCACTTCATCGAAAACAAACTTTAAACTGCAGAACCAAAGCAGTCATGAGCCAGTTTCAGGTTATCATGCTATCAATAGGGATTCCAACTTCATCTTATATGGGTCACTCAAAAGATGCTCATTGGTGTCCCATTTGAAAGACCAAATAGCAGTCCCGACAAAATTCAGTGATTTGCACATGCATTGAATGCATAAGGCAGCCACCAGAAGTGCAACACCAACGACCTGTCACTTAAGTTGATGGAAGAAGCAGCCATGACAGACTTGTAGCCACACATGCATTACTGCATAAGGTATACCACCAATTCTGTGGCAACCAGCTACTCACCATTTTCATAATATAAAGTTTACAAATCACATCTCTGGGAGCACTGACAACAAATATTCCTGAACAGATTTACAAAGGCCTTTGCATGAATTGACTGAGTGGCCAGTGCTTCACTGAAAGTTAGAGGATAGAAGAAGACAGGTTGGGTTACCTTACATATTCTTATAGTCATGGCAGCTTGGTCTGACCTTAGTAGCTATAGGGACTTGCAAATAAAGTAGTTGTCAGATAATCAACTGGTCACCCACTTCATAAAGCATAACCTAGTTAGCAACATCCTTCATTCTTCATAACCCTCACCCTGGTCACTGTTGTTTCAGTGTCAGATCTACTAGGATTAGACTATACAGATCTCCTGGAATGCCTGACGACTACAGGCATGGTGGCCAAGGGAGAGGTCATCATCAGGGACAACTCTGTGCAGGAAGCCTCACATGCCAGGGATGCCATGGCCAAGGCATTGTATGGACGCTTGTTTAGCTGGATAGTCAACAGAATCAGCTCACTTCTCAAGCCCACCCACACAGACAGAAGTGGGTAAGTCATGACTGTGGGTGTTGTCAGTTCTGTAAGTCATGACTGTGGATGTTGTCAGTTCTGTAAGTCAGTAATATTGTACCCATTATGTCAGTAACCATTGACTGGCTCTTTACAACTGCTGACATTCTGGACATATAGTGAATATCAACATCTGTTTTTTTCTTCACCTTCTGCACTTTAACCCCTTACTCTGGAAACCATTTAAAAAATACGTTGGAAATCCACATGAAATTGGAGATTCCTGGAATAAAATCAAGGAAAAAAGTTCAATACATGTCACTAATAAATTGGAAAAAAATGTATTTATCTAAAGTTTAAAATTTTTTGTTGGGGGGGGGGGGGGGGGGGGGGGGGGGAATTTAAATGTAGATAAGGGAAGTAATAAATAAATAATGCAGCACAAGCATCACAGAGAAGGGCACTCACTTGTCCTAGTAATAGAAAAGGTTGCTGAAGGCTGAAGACGTAGTCTAAAGCCATGTGGATGTGGAAAGCAATGGGAAACTACCACTTGGAAGCCAAAAAATGAAACTCAAAGATCTGATGGTGAGACCTCCAGGCTAGGCAGATCACAAATGCGAACTGGGGAAGAGAACGATGGCAGAGCAAGTAAGGGTAGTTGTGATGATGGCATTAAGTTACACAGAAAATATAATGAGAAATGTCATGTGTGAGAATGTTCTGAGTGCACTGACATCAATTTTTGATTGTTTGATTCATACTCTCATTTCATACTATACTTTACTGATGATTTATACTGTCATTTCATACTATACTTTACTGATGCTTCAAGTCAATGTCTTTTTTGCCACGTGTGTTTCAGCGCTATGTTCCATAATATTCATCCTTTGCTGGTATTTCAGAGATGAGTATCTTTCTGTGGGTCTGTTGGACATTTTTGGGTTTGAGAATTTCAAGACGAATTCATTCGAGCAGCTGTGTATCAACATTGCTAATGAGCAGATCCAGTATTATTTCAACCAGCACATATTTGCTTGGGAACTTGTGAGTATAACTGTGTATAATTTATATTCATACTGATCCTTTCTTATTGGGCATTTTGAGCTCTTGAGGTTCACTGCTGCAGATGTCAACCCACCACCATTCCTCGCTGTGACTGGCCTTCGTTTTTTTTTTCTCCCCAATTGGTGATGCTAAGTTTTATAGGTCTGCATGTAAATGATCTCTCCACTGTCTTCTTGGTCTGCCTCATGGTGTGATCATATTGATACAAATAACTTTTTGAAAAAAAATATATGTTTGCCTGACTCTCTCTCCCCCTCTCTCTCTGAGTGCATGCCTGTGTGTGTATGCGTGCGTGTGCATGCATGTACGTATGTGCGTGCATGTGTGTGTGAATAAGACAGAGTGAGTTTGTGTGTGTGCGTGTGTGCACATATGTGTGCTCACCTGAGTGCTTGCATAGTAATTTTTTTTTAATGTGCATTTACATGTGCCAGTATGCACATTCACAAATAAATAGTGTTGCAAGGGTTCTTAGTGTGAGGCCTCCACATTGACTAGATCATAGCTTAACTCTTTCAGTCCCATAAGGTCATAGCTAATGTCTGAGAGAGTTACAAATGGCAGTACAACACTTATTGGTATACTATTTCCAGAGGGGCTGGATATACAACCCTTGTTGTCAGAGTTCTTCAGAGTTGCTCACTGAACATAAACAAGTGAAGGACCATTTTTCCCACACCTTCAGGCATGTTGGGCATATATATACCTCTGTTTTATAGAGCAAACAACTCTTGGGGTTTGAAGGGGTCACCATCACGCCAGCTGCCTTTACTTCCCAGGACTGTACCTGTTCCCACTCAAGGCTGGGTCGACCTGGGAGCCAAGGTCATTTTTGAAAAAAGTCTGGCCCCTGTTAGGACCAAAACCCATGACTTTTCAATCCACAGGCAAGAGTCTATCCGCTAGACCATGGCGGCTCCCGCTTGCTAAACGTAAGATGTAAAAACATACATTAAATGTGTTGCTTGGAACAGAATGAGTTAATGTGGTGAGGTAACCAGTTCACTGCCCTATTTTGTTCCCAAATAGTTCCTCAGAAAATCTAAAAATTATCCATTTAAGGGGGTTGTATCCACCCCAGCTAGAGGAGCACTGGTACTGGACAAATGAGACATTCTGAAGACCATTTATGAACAAATGCTGATAGAAAACATAGGATTAAATTAGTGGCTCTCAACCTTGCTAATGTTGCGACCCTTTGATACACTGCCCTCATGTTGTGGCGACCCTTTGATACACTGCCCTTCTGTTGTGGTAACCCTTTGATACACCACCCTCATGTTGTGGCAACCCTTTGATACACTGCCCTCATGTTGAGGCAACCCCCAAACAATTATTTTCCTTCATAACTTCAATGAAAATATGTATTCCAAGGGTCTTAGGCGACCCTTGTGAAAGGGTTGTTTAACCCAAAAAAAGAGTCGCAACCTGCAGGTTGAGAACCGCTGGGCTAGATAAAAAAAAGTTTGTGTAAGAATAAGTTAACATGAAATTAGGAGTGGAACTGTCAAGAGGAAGATAGAAGACGCAAGATTAGATAAAATAACATGTGTAAGAATGTTAACATGAAATTAGGAGTGGATCTGTCAAAAGGAAGATAGAAGACACAAGGTTAGATGAAGTAACATGTGTAAGAATGTTAACATGAAATTAGGAGTGGAACTGTCAAGAGGAAGATAGAAGACGCAAGATTAGATAAAATAACCTGTAAAAATGTGGGAACATGAAATTAGGAGTGGATCCGGCAAAAGGAAGAGAATGATATATGTAACCACTGTGCTATGAAAGACTAAGTATTTACATCTAAAGTTATAGGAGCATGGAGTGCTATGGGAGATGGAGCATCTAGGCGTATGGATGGTGTGCTGTATTGTCAGTTTCTAACTCAGTAATCATCAAAGGACTTCTGCTTCTGGGACATGATACTGCTCATGAGCCTGTTTTATTCGATGTCCAGATCTGGTATAATACAAATAACTGGTATTCCTCTTGTCTGTTGTCAGGAAGAGTACAAAAATGAAGGGATCAGTGCAACCAGTGTGACTTATGTTGACAACAGGCCTATCCTGGATATGTTTCTCTCAAAACCAGTTGGTCTGTTGGCACTGCTGGATGAAGAGAGCCATTTCCCAAAGGCAACAGATTCAACACTTGTTGGTTAGTTTAATTTGTTTTGGTGTTTTGCATTGCTTACTCATATAGATGTCCCTATATGGGCTTCATGGCCCATGCTGGGGAAAGAAAATAATAAACCCTCTGTCCCTCAACAATCAGGTGAGTGACCTTCAACCCCACCAATGCCACACAACGAGCAACCAGCACCTGACGACACAAGTTGCCATCATTCAGATGAAGATCACCCGGGCACAATTTCCAGAAACTGTTCAACCACTAGGTTATGTTAGGGGACCCGACAACAGCCGCGGTGGGGCTTCAAAATAATAATCATTAAAAGAAATTTGCCCTATCCTGGGGTGGAACAAATCTCTACTAACAAACGAGACATATATAAGGCAACTGTTGAAAAATTTGCTGCGGATGTGTTGGACTGAAAGGCGCAGATATTGCAGCCTAGCTGTAAACCACAGCACAACATGCCAACCATCTTTTAAGGGCAAACACAGAAGAAGAAAATAGAAATAGACAGTTTTCACTCTTAAATAACACGTTTTCTGCAGGATCGTTGTCTCACTTCTAGTTGTCCTGTACCGTTTATATTAACTTTATTAATATCATAAATGAAATTATTTTTAACTGCAGTAAAGTATATATTCATCATGTAGCAGGTCCTTTGCAGAACGTCGCTCTCATCACAGTCTGCCTGAAAGAAACTCGGTCTGTTGCCAGTTCTCCCGCCTCATGTACTTTTATACTCAAGGAATCACTTATATCCTGTGCCCATCATCGTGTCGGTCGGCCCCTGACCCTCCTTCCTGGTACCATGACTTCTGCTATAATTTTTTCCAATCCATTGTGGCGCTTGATATGACCAAAATATTTCAGCTTGCAAAGTAATTACAATGCAAAAAAGATTGCATAAAATATTCTTTATTTTGTAAAATGCTGCCTTTCTGTGAGCTTTTTTACTTTTAACTTCTGTAGTACATCTTCCATCTGATGTTATCAGGGTACACACTTACTTAAATATATAAACATACTTGAGGTTTGTCTTATTTACTGTATCCTAGAAAGAGAAAATGCAATCTGAAAACTTAATGTAATGACAAGACAGACCAAACCCTTAGCCTTGGTTGGCAGGTGGTCTAGTAAGGAATCTCCAACAGGTGGACAGAGCACTGCTGTTTTGATCTGACAGCTTCTGCACCCTTCTTTTCCTAAATGTATCAGTATTACCTTCTTTTAAAGTAAACGGGGCAGGGTGAGAGAGCGAGCAGGCTGCATGGGCAGCACATTGTTTTCTACAGTAGTGTCCAGGTTTTTACCCTGGAGAGGAGGAAGCCTTTTCTTAATGCAAGCAAGTCTTGCTAGTGGTCACACTTGCTATGATCCGGGGCTTGCATGCCCCCCCTTTTAGCATGGTATAGTATTATTGTCTGGAAAGACAGAAAATGTCAGCCAACTAGTAAATTAGGTTTTGACAAGCTGGAGTTCAGGTGAGGTAGAAATATTCCTATTGGTAGACAAGAAATGCACATTAACCAGTTTTTGTGCTTTAATTGTGAGGGCCCTTTGGGAGCGAGTGAACAGTACAGAGGGGCAGATAGATCATTACGGTCTAAAGAGAAATGGGGCTGCAAGGAATTACCAGGGGATCTGGTCGACGCTCAACACTCAGTGATATACAATCAGACGGTTACTGGTACCATCGGAATTGGAACTCTTCGCACGCTGCTGAAGATGGGAGACTGAGCATTTATGGGAGTGTCCCGAGTGATTTGATGTCGATTCTTAATTCAAAATTCAACATTAAATTTGTGCGTTATTGTCTGGTGTCAGGATATTTCAATCATGTGCTTGTATGACACATCTTGCATCTGCTGGTTCCATATTTCTATAGAATAGTCATCTTTTTATGTAGTCATCATCATGCTGGCTGGCTGCCCTTACTTCCTAAGACATTTCCTGGTATCCATTTTAGGCTGGCCAATGGAAGAGCCCTAGGTCAACTATACTGTTGGGGGAAACACTGCATAGATGTTTGTTGACACATTTTTTTTCAAAACTATTGTTGACCCAGATGACCAAATGAACAATGTGGATTTGTAGAAGGAAAAGGGACAAACAATGCCATTTACATCCTAAGGACATTGTCAGAAAGAGCTATAGAAGTAAAGACTGATTTGTGCTTATGCTTCATAGACTATACAAAAGCATTTGACTGTGTGAAACATGAAGTATTCAAACTGTTAGAAAAATTAAACATTGATGGAAAGGATCGACGAATAATAAAGAATATTTATTGGCATCAAACAGCAGCTATAAGAATTAACAACTGTTTATGTACATTTCAATGCATGAAGACAGCGTACGATTTATTTTTATATACAGTGAATATATAATGGGATCTTTACAAAACTGCCCTGATAGGGATATGAACCCATGATTTCTAGACCAGTAGGAAAACATCTTGTCACTGACAGTTTTAAATTATTTTTTCTATCATGTATTTTTGATCATTTATGTACTGTTTATATCCTTTCTCAATATTTTGTCCTTTCCTAATGTTTTTACTTCAGTGACTTTTATAATTTAGAAAAAAATATTCTCACATACAGGCAAGTTCCACCAGAATATAAAATCACCAGTCTACTCCAGGCCCAAGTCTAACAGTCTCACATTCTGCATCGATCACTTTGCTGGCAGGGTAAGTTATCAGTTATCACAGTTAATGAGTATTCAACCAGTTTAGATTTATCACTTTCATTGTTTGCTCACTAAGAGAGAATGTCTTGTGACACCAGACTACACAAGGCATACACCAGGCCAAACAGGACATACACCAGACCAAACAGGGCATACACCAGACCAAACAGGGCATACACCAGACTATACAAGGCATACAACAGACCAAACAGGGCATACACCAGACCAAACAGGGCATACTCCAGACCAAACAAGGCATACACCAGACCAATCAGGGCATACACCAGACCAAACAGGGCATACACCAGACCAAACAGGGCATACACCTGACCAAACAGGGCATACAGCAGACCAAACAGGGCATACAGCAGACCAAACAGGGCATAAACCAGATCACACAGGGCATACATCAGACTACACAAGGCATACACCAGACCAAACTGGGCATAAACCAGACCAAACAAAGCATCCACCAGACCAAACGGCATACACCAGACCAAACAGGACATACACCAGACCAAACAGGACATACACCAGACCAAACAGGACATACACCAGACCAAACTGGGCATACACCAGACCAAACAGGGCATACACCAGACCAAACAGGGCATACAGCAGACCAAACAGGGCATACAGCAGACCAAACAGGGCATATACCAGACCAAACTGGGCATATACCAGACCAAACTGGGCATACACCAGACCAAACTGGGCATACACCAGACCAAACAGGGCATACAACAGACCAAACAGGGCATACACCAGACCAAACTGGGCATACAACAGACCAAACAGGGCATACACCAGACCAAACAGGGCATACACCAGACCAAACAGGGCATACACCAGACCAAACAGGGCATACACCAGACCAAACAGGGCATACACCAGACCAAACAGGGCATACACCAGACCAAACAGGGCATACACCAGACCGAACAGGACATACACTAGACCGAACAGGACATACACTAGACCAAACAGGGCACACACAGACCAAACTGGGCACACACCAGACCAAAGTGGGCATACAACAGACCAAACAGGGCATACAACAGACCAAACAGGGCATACACCAGACCAAACAGGGCATACACCAGACCAAAAGGGCTTACACCAGACCGAACAGGACATACACTAGACCAAACAGGGCACACACAGACCAAACTGGGCACACACCAGACCAAAGTGGGCATACAACAGACCAAACAGGGCATACACCAGACCAAACTGGGCATACACCAGACCAAACAGGGCATAAACCAGACCAAACAGGGCATACACCAGACCAAATAGGGCATACATCAGACCAAACAGGGCATACACCAGACCAAAGTGGGCATACAACAGACCAAACAGGGCATACACCAGACCAAACAGGGCATACAACAGACCAAACAGGGCATACACCAGACCAAACAGGGCATACACCAGACCAAACAGGGCATACACCAGACCAAACAGGGCATACACCAGACCAAACAGGGCATACAGCAGACCAAACAGGGCATACACTAGACCAGACAGGGCATACACTAGACCAGACAGGGCATACAGCAGACCAAACAGGGCATACACCAGACCAAACAGGGCATACAGCAGACCAAACAGGGCATACAGCAGACCAAACGTCATACACCAGACCAAACAGGGCATTCACCAGACCAAACGTCATACACCAGACCAAACAGAGCATACACTAAAAGAGCAGAGCACAAGGTAGACCCCCCCCCCCCCCCCCCCCCCCAAAAAAAAAAAATAACATCACATAAACTTCACAACAGTATGTGACTGTTTGAGGTGACAAGAGGAGCAAGAAGTAGAACTTTATATAACCCTCGCACCCAGAGCGGTGGAATTGGAAGTGAAGAACAGGAGGAAGAATCAGTTCGGCATCATATTCAGAATGTAGGTTGGCTACACTATGTCTCCATATAATCTGTTTCTTGTCCATACATTTACACAGACTATTGTTAGTCTATTTCTTGATGTTATTTCCCCACGTGTACCTCTGTCTGCCTCTTGCTTGCTTTCCTACATCATCTCCCTCCAGAATGGTTTTTATTATAAAAATATTGTGTCCTTTATGTTTATGTTTGTTTATGTTTATACAAAGGATCAACATCATGGCATATGGGTGTAACCCGTAAGTGCGACTTTCTACTTCTAACTCAAGCCTGAGTCTGAAAAATCTCAGCGGAGTGTGCGAACTCCGTTGCACCGGCGAGGATCCTGAAATACTTTGGGTAGATTTTAAACTCAAAATTTTGCCCGGACAGCGCCGTTAGGCTACTCTTTTGGATTTCCAACTGCAAAAGGGATTGTTTTACGTGCGCAAGAATACACATTTGAGGCAGACACCGTACATTGAGACCACTCAGCATAGTGTTCTTCTGAAGTTTGTGTTAATGAAGTTTCACAGTACACATTTTTGTTGTGCCTGTCTATCATACCCTGGGCCTGAATCGACATTTCTAATTAATTGTTCATTGTTCTGGTTTCTACACCATACAGCATCATGAAGAGATTGCAAACCAAATGAAAAGTCTAACTAGTCAGCTCCACATTGTGAGAATCACAAGTGAAAAGTGAACATTGCAAGTAGAAAGCCTTCATCAGCACATTACATTTATGGACAGTGTAACAATTAGGAAAACATATACACAAAGTCACTAAACTGAGGTATCTGCAAGATAAATCCACATGTTTATCTGGCAATTGAAGCTCTGACACATGTGTGAACAGAGGACATTAATACTAACCAAGAAATTTGAGAGTGCCAACCAGTTTTAACTGTAACTTTTTATACATACATTTATGGCCCATTTTATAAATTGTTTCTGGTATAAAGGAGTTAATGGTAAAAATGCAAGTTGATGATGATGTATGGTGTTGCACCTGTGATAGCTCTGTCCCTTTGTTCTTATCACACAGGTTGAGTATGATGCTCAGGGATTTCTAGAGAAGAACAGAGACCGCCTACCTGGGGAAATCATCAACATCATGAGGTTCTCAGAGAATAAAGTGGTCAAGACTTTATTTCAGACTCCACTGACAAAAACTGGTTAGTTTTGTTCATGGTTGGCAACAAATTAGTTAGTGTTCTTTGTGATTGACAAAAACAGGTTAGTGTTCTTTGTCATTGACAAAAACTGGTTAGTGTTTTTTGTGGTTGAAAGAAACTGGTTATTAGTGTTCTTTGTGGTTGACAGGAAAAAAATACACAACTGGTTAGTGTTCTTCACAGTTGGCAACAAATTGGTTAGTGTTAACAAAAACTTGTTAGTATCTTCATGGTTTTTAAAGACTGGTTAATGTTCTTTGTGGTTGACAAAAACTGGTTAGTGTTTTTTGTGGTTGACAGAAACTGGTTATTGGTGTTCCTTGTGGTTGACAAAACCGGTTAGTGTTCTTTGTGGTTGACAAAACATAAGCATTGATTTGGTTGACAAAAACTGGTTAGCGTTCTTCATGGTTGTAAAAAAAACCCAGTTAGCATTCTTTGTAATTGAAAAAAAAAACAAAAAAACAACTGGTGAGTGTTTTTGAAGTTGACAAAAAAACTGGCAGGTGTTCTTTGTGGTTTAAAAAAAACAAAACAAGTATGCTGTTGGAAACTATACCGACAGGACAGTCAGCTGTTTTCTGTTGTATGTTCAAGGAAATCTCCAAAGTGGTAGTCTCAGCTCAAGCTCCAGAAACAGTAGAATGAACAGTCCAGGGGGCACCTCTCCAGGGATCACTGTGACCAGCTACAACTCCAAGGGAGCTGGTTTGGGAGGCAGTCGGGTGAGTCCAGATGTTGGATCTTTTTTTTTCCGCCTTAGCATCACATCAATGGCTGTTTGAATCTTCCAGGCTGTCTCAGTGTTTATTTGAGGCTTTAAGGCTGTTTGAGCCCCAGTGGTTGTCTGAATCCCCAAGGCTGTTTGAGTCTCCGTCTGACTCTCTGAATCTCCAAGGCTGTTTGAGTCTCAGTCTGACTCTCTGAATCCTCAAGGCTGTTTGAGTCTCAGTCTGACTCTCTGAATCTCCAAGGCTGTTTGAGTCTGACTCTCTGAATCCCCAAGGCTGTTTGAGTCTCAGTCTGACTCTCTGAATCCTCAAGGCTGTTTGAGTCTCCGTCTGACTCTCTGAATCCTCAAGGCTGTTTGAGTCTCCGTCTGACTCTCTGAATCCCCAAGGCTGTTTGAGTCTCAGTCTGACTCTCTGAATCCCCAAGACTGTTTGAGTCTCCGTCTGACTCTATGAATCCCCAAGGCTGTTTGAGTCTCAGTCTGACTCTCTGAATCCCCAAGGCTGTTTGAGTCTCCGTCTGACTCTCTGAATCCCCAAGGCTGTTTGAGTCTCAGTCTGACTCTCTGAATCCCCAAGGCTGTTTGAGTCTCCGTCTGACTCTCTGAATCCCCAAGGCTGTTTGAGTCTCAGTCTGACTCTCTGAATCCCCAAGGCTGTTTGAGCCTCAGTCTGACTCTCTGAATCCCTAAGACTGTTTAAGTCTCAGTCTGACTCTTTGAATCCCCAAGGCTGTTTGAGTCTCCGTCTGACTCTCTGAATCCCCAAGGCCATTTGAGCCTCAGTCTGACTCTCTGAATCCCCAAGGCTGTTTGAGCCTCAGTCTGACTGTCTGAATCCCTAAGACTGTTTGAGTCTCAGTCTGACTCTCTGAATCCCCAAGGCCGTTTGAGCCTCAGTCTGACTCTCTGAATCCCCAAGGCTGTTTGAATTTCCTGGGCTAAGTTTCCAAAGATTTTTGAACCTCAATGACTTTTTGAGTCTCCAGTTTTGTTTGAATCTCAGTAAATGTTTGAGTCTCAGTGGATGTTTGAATCTCAGTAAATGTTTGAGTCTCAGTGGATGTTTGAATCTCACTAAATATTTGAATAAAAAAGGATGTTTGAATCTCAATGGATGTTTGAATCTCAATGGATATTTTAATCTCAGTAGATGTTAGCACCTTAATACTGTTACAATTTCAGTAGCTGCTTAAGTCTCAATAGCTGTTTGAATCTCCAGTAATGTTTGAATCTCAGTAGATGTTTGAATCTCATTAAATGTTTGAATCTCAATAGATTTTTTAATAACAAAGGATGTTTGAATCTCAATGAATGTTTGAAATCTCAATGGATATTTGAAACTCAGTAGATGTTAGTATCTTACTTGTTGTTAGAATGTCAGTGGCTGCTTAAATTTCAATAGCTGTTTGAATCTCCATTGATGTTTGAATCTCCAAGGCTCTTTGAGTCTTTGCCGCAAGAACAAGCAGTTTTAGTTGTACTGTATTCTTCAGAGAAAAGAGTAAAGATGGAAAAAGGAAATTAAAAAAAAAAAAAAGGAAGATTGAAAAGAAGAGAAAATGAAAGAATACTGGAGGAGAGGATGGACAGGAGAGGATGGACAAGAAATTTTAAAAAAATCATATTTGTTTCATTTACTTTTACTTACATGCACATATTGTAGATCTATGCCTTGTTGGTAAGTATGGCAGCTCTTTATGTTTCTGCCTACAGGTTTTTATTCTTGTTTATTAACAATATAACCAGTTTCACTAATTTTTGTAGCTTTTTTTGTGTGGAATTTGTTCTCACATCAATTGTTGAAAAAAATTTTGGAAGCTATCACATTATAACAGCTAGCAACCCACCTACCAGTTTAAAGGTTTAGAGTTCATGTCTACATTGAGGCAATCCCACTCTAACTCTTTTTCTTCGCGTTCACCAACTGTAAACTCAGGTGAAAGTGAAAATTCTGCTTATTCCTCTACTTTTTGACTCCATTTTACAGATCTGGCTTATTTATAAGTAGTCTGGTGGTTTCATGCCTCTCAGGCAGATGCAGTCTGACTTTGAATGAAACCCCTTAATTAGTCGACTCCTGCAACATGCGTATTAGCAGGCAGGGGGGTCTGTTCTTTTTTCCCCTCCCCCCACACTGGGGCCCCCCTAAACCTGCAATGGAACGGCACCAAATAATGTCCTGCGAAGTGTGATGTTGACCACGTCACCCATTGAGTGGAGATTGATCGGTACAACGGTAGGTCTAGCACTTTATGCTTGATGCATCAAAGGCATGAAGAAGCTCCTTGGGTTCATAATTCCTGGTCTAGTACTTGTAGTAATGCAGTTGTAAGATGCTTGTGACTGAGAATAATTATGAGAAGAATAAAAAACAATTAAACCAGAAATCAGTTATGAACAATGTTGATATGTAGAAGGAAAAGGGACAAACAATGCCATATACAATGTCCCGTGGCTTAGGCGTTGTGAGTCCGACTCGTAATTCCAACGTACCGCAATCGAAACCCACTGCAGACTGCAGGCTATTTTAATCATGGTATCAGGCGTCGCAGGTCAACCCAGCCTAAAATGGGTACCAGGATGTATGTCCTGGGGAAATGACGACGGCCGGCGTAATGCTGACGACATTACCCACCTAGTGCCGATTGGTCTGTAACAATATGGGTACTGTCCCATGTGCCCAATGCGCCTAAGGCGTGAAAAGTGATCTTTACTTACTTTTTTACTTCATAGACTACAAAATCATTTGACTGTGTGAAACATGAAGAAGTAAGCAAACTGTTAGAAAAATTAAACATTGATGGAAAAGATCTACGAATAATAAAGAATATGTATTGGCAGCAAACAGCAGCTATAAGAATTAACAATTGTTTAGGTACATTTCTGTGCATAAAGAGGACGTATGACAAGGATGTTTACTGTCACCTGATTTATTTTTACTATACAGTGAATACATATTGTGATCTTTAATTGTGGTGGTAGAAAGTAGAAGAATAGGTCTCAGTTGGAATAATGGGAAGACAGAAGTAATGGTGGTATCAAAGAAAAGAATTATTCCTAAATGTATAATAAAAATCAGTGGTGTTATTTTAGGACAAGTACAGAAATTTAAGTATCTGGGCACATGGAAAACATCAGATGGAAGATGAATTAATGAAAAAAGATACAGAATAGGACATGCAAAAACTGAATTTTATAAAATGAAGAACATCTTATGCCAAATATCTTTGTCATTGAAGAAAAAGAATTCTTGCTTGCTACATACATCCAGTTTTAACATATGGCTGTGAGTCCTGGCCAATCGGTAGGCAGGCCAAACATTTTCTTGAGGCCTCAAAGATGTGGTTTTACAGAAGAATGCTTAAAATAACTTGGACAGCCAAAAAGAGCAACCAAGAGGTTTTGAAAGAGGCGGTAGCCCGAAGACAACTTATGACAGACATCAGAAGGAGACAGTAATAATTTTTTGGCCATATTATGAGAAGAGGAAAATGATCATGTTGTGACCACTGGAAAGATCTGTGGAAGGAGGGAAAGAGGAAGACAATGAGAGAAGATTCTTGACAGTCTTGTTGCATCGCATGGAAGTGTGTCAACACACGAACTGATACATGCTGCAGGAGATCGCAGATTGTGGAGAAGCATGATCGCCCACGCTAGTCGGCAAGGCACCTGATGATGATAATGAAGATACTTGCAGAAGGTCTTATGTTCGATTTCACATATACAAATGTGTTCTGCTCCCAGGTTAACTTAGCATTAAATGAGTATCAGTTCTGACAAGTAAACATGCTGACTGGTTTAAAAAAATGGGAATTGAGGACCACATGCATAATTTATCATTGGTGTGAAGGGGAGTCTTTTATTTTGTCACTTGTTAACTCTTGTTTTACTTTGGTTCATTTCTAAAATTATTCTCGGTAATATTTAGTGCTATATTTTTGTTTGCGTCACCACAGTGTGCCATGCCTGGCGATCCTGATTATCTGGTTTCTCCACAGCAGCCTGTTTTCTATGTTGTTGATAAATCCAGACTCCCAGCAGGGGTTCTGCTCATTTTGGGGAGGAAAAAGAATAGACCCCCCCCCCCTCAATCCCCCACCACACTCCCCCAACAAGTATGTCATAAAAAGCCACTAATTAGGAATTTGCTAAGTTGGATGTGTTGGACTGAAAGACACAAGATATCGCAGCTCCGATATAAACCACAGCAAAACATGCCAGCTGCTTGTTTTAGGGTAAACACAGAAAAATGTTAGAAGATAAGTCCATCAATAATCAACTTCCCTGGTGTTCTGACAACCCATTCATCTTTGTCCTTTCTCTGTTACTTTATGAAACAGCCATGTATTCTGCTTAATGTTCTCACATCAATTGTTTAAAAAAAAAAAATTATATTTTGTCCATTTTCGGAGCCATGGTATTTTATAAAGGTCTAGAGTTCACATCTGCCTCAAGGCCAACCCACTCTAACATGGGCATCAAGTCTTCTTCTCCTCCTCCTCTTCTTCCTCCTCCCTCCTCCTCCCCCTCCCCTCCTCTTCTTTTTCTTCTTCTTGGTCTCTTCTTCTTCTTCTTCTTCTTCTTCTTCTTCTTCTTCTTCTTCTTCTTCTTCTTCTTCTTCTTCTTCTTCTTCTTCTTCTTCTTCTTCTTCTTCTTCTTCTTCTTCTTCTTCTTGTTGACAATTCACCGACTGTAAACTCCAAGGAAGGTTCAGGTTGTTCGTCTACTTCTGGACTTTATTTGTTTTCCATAATTTAAGTTTGGCGCGCAGATTCATTTTATAGATCTCGCTTATTTATATGCAGACTGTTGGTTCCATGCCTCTCAGGCAGATGCACTCGACTTGTATGCAAGAAGTGGACTGGAAGGTCAGAATGTTAGACAGGCCTGCCTGCCTAATTCTCAAGCTTTTGAAAATAAAGTTTCTTTGTTCGTCCATTTGTTGTGTAGTGAGTAAGGTATGCTTAGTATACTTCTTCTTCTTCTTCGTGTTCGCCAGCTGTAAACTCTATTAGAAAGTCCTGGTTGTTCATCCCCTTTTGGACTGCATTCCTGTTCCAGAACCTGAGTGTTGTGTGTGCATCCGTTTTACAGATCTGACTCATCTGGATGCAGACTGCTGGTTCCTTGCCTCAATTAGTTGACTCTTACCACATGCTTTTGGGCAGGCAGTGGGTCTATTCTTTTTTCCCCTATAATAGGGCCCAGGAACCCACACAGGGAGCTTAGTATAGTCAGTCTTAAAGACTCCCCATTGCCTACACTGCAGAAGTGGTAAATACAGAGAGTAGCGACAATTTTAATGGCAGCATACTCACAGCCACTGAGTAGATCATTGTGGTCTGGAGAGAATGATGCAGCAAGAAATGACCAGTGGGCCTGGCTGATACACAACACTCCAGGAAAGATAGCTTTGATGTTTCACATTAGTCATTGTCAGGGATTGGTTTTTTTTTTGTTTTTTTTTAAATTCTGTGAGTACCAGTATCCTTTTTTCTTTCTGTAAGCATTGTTTCTGTCCAGAGCCACTGCAATAGACACTTTGTGTTGAGTACCAGCACCTTTTTATTTTTCCAGAAGAAAAAAAAACCCTGATTATTGATTATTATAAATATTTGTGGCTCCCAGTTTTGTGTCACATTTTGACAGCTGCCTTGATTTGCTTGCCAGATAAAAGTATTGGTAATAGCTATACTTCTCTTTTCTCTGTTATCCCTTTCATTTTTTTAAACACAATGGCTGTTCCAGAATCAGCCTCCACTTGGCTGGTTAAAAAACAAAATGTTAGCCACAGCGACACAATTCATTGCTTGCATCATTCAGTAGCCTTTTAGCTTACTACACACCAACCTACAGTCACATTTTTTCAGTGGTTCATGAACCACGAATGAATAAACATGGACACTGTCTTTGCCTGTCCTGCCAGCAGTGAAATTCACGGTGTAATTCATTTTATTCAAGCAGAAAGTCAAAATGTGAACAGTGGTTCTCAGTTTGCCAAAACTTTAGGATACATTTTCTTCTTCAAATGTCTGCCACACACCTCATACTTTTGAATAGTCATACTTAACAACTTATTATAATGTATAAATAATACAGTTGCGAAAAGAATTGTGGGTTTTTGAAAAATAATATCACAGGCTCCTTAAATTTGTTCTCTTTTTTTTTTTCCACCTGGGGCCCGCTGACTACCAGATAAGAAAGACTGCCATAAATATGAACTATCTTGTCTTCCAGCATGCCACAAACACTGGCAGCATGACCCGTTTCCAGCAGACAGTAGCAACCTACTTCCGTTACTCCTTGATGGATCTGCTCAACAAGATGGTGGCCGGTACACCCCACTTTGTCAGGTTAATAACGTTTATATCTGTTGTTTTTCATCTACTTAATCGATCAGGTGCTGTCTTCATAATGAGGGTTGGCTGTAGTGGATCTCCAACATGCTCTCTCTTATCTTGATTGTACACTCTCTCACACTGCTATTTGTCCATCTCTTGATTTTTTTTCTCATATTTTTATTGTCTGCCTCTTGCTCTCTTGCCTTCCACTTTTCCCTTCTGTATATTTTTTTCATTTTTCAAAGATTGACCTTAGCTCCCAGGTTAAGCCACGGTCTAAAATAGGTGCCAGGTAATGTCCTGGCAAGTATGGGTGCCAGGTAATGTCCTGGCAAGTATGGGTTGCAGGCATAATGTTGAGCACATCACCCATCGAGTGCCGATTGGTCTGTACAAATATAGGTCTAGCACTATATGCTCACTGAGCCAAGGGCATGACTACGATCCTTTACTTACTTACATGTCCCATGTGGGTTCCAGGACCCCATGTGGGTTCCAGGGCCCCATTTTAGGGGGTGGGGGAGAACAGACCCACTGCCCTTAAGAAGTATGTTATAAAAGGCAACTAATTACGGATTTTTCATCCAAAGTTGCAGCACATCCGCCTGAGTGGTGAGAACAACCTGTCTGCATACAAATGAATCAGATCTGTAAATGGATGTGCACACAAAATTTCAGTTCTGGAATAAGACTGCAGTCCTTAAGTGGACGAGCAACCATAACATAGCTGGTTAACTTTTGTGGTTGCAGATTTTGTATGGGATAAGGTAGCCAACTGCAAGCCTAACCGAACCCTTAGTAATCTCATGGCATGCCTGATATTTTGCAATATTACTATTATTTACTTTTTATAAGGGCCCCAGGAACACACAGATTGGATGTTATTCTTTAAATAGTTGTTAATTTCGGTTTTTTAATCTGCAAAATATTCTAGCACTCAGTTAACTCTTTGCATTTATCGTCTAACAACCAGATGTTTGAAGCCAAATGACTTAAAGGAACCTGGGAACTTTCACGCAGATAGGATCATCACACAGCTGCGGTATACAGGTGTTCTAGAAACTACACGCATACGTCGACAGGGTTACTCTCATCGGATTGCTTTCTCAGAGTTCTTGAAAAGGTAATAATTAGTTCAGTGTCAGGTAAAGTATTGCTGAAAATTGAAATGACTGTTGTTGAGCTTATGTAAAGAATGACTGAATGCAGAATGTAAGTGGAAAGCTTGGTTAAAGGAAAGGCACGTGCAGTTGCAAGCAAATGTTTCCATCAAAGTCTGTGTCAGTGAAAAAACAAAACAGAATGTGAAACAAACATAAAAACCAGTTATATTACTGATTAGTTATTTAAGAATTGAAAGAGATGAAGCCCTATTATAGACTTTTGAGTACATAATCTTAAGGTAAAGCTTTGGACCCATCAAATATACAATTAGCAGAGAAGGCAGAGTGAGAAGCAATATCAAAGTTTGTAAATGGTTTACATCAATACTATTTACTGGTATGAGGGCTAATAGACCACAATGGTAGGTCCATAAAGAGAAATGGCAGATAACTGGGGAAAAAAGCAACAAATAAAACGAAAGAGTTGAATGCAGAGAAGACCATCGGCCGACCAAGAAGACAGTAGAGAGATTATATACATGCAGGCCTACAAATACTACGAGTCACACACTGGTATGATAAAACCAGTCACAGAGATGAATGGAGGTGGGTGATATCTGCTGTAGTGAACCTCAAGGCTGAGAATGCTGAAGAAGAATAGCATGTAAGGCACAAACATGGATACTCTGTATTCTGCATCAAATATATTGGGTAGAATGCTGACTGCTCTATAAGCACACTGGCTGTGAACGTGTAGTACTGTTACTGGTGTCTGTTTTTTTCTTATTGTACTTACGCAACAGCTGATTCACCTAGGTTATTTAGTGTAACAATCTGTACTGCATTGGATTCCAAGTCACTGTGGCTTGGAAGGCAATGAAATAGCAGACAGGTTGGCTAGAAGCGGCAGTGACAAGGTACAACCAAATAGTTACTTAATCCACCAAGAGACTAAGACATTAATTCAATCTAGTATCTAAGAAAGGTGGCTGGATACACACACCAAATTCTCTCCTCAAGACTTGCTTCATCGCCTTTCTAGAGGGGGGACAGTTTATTGTATTCAGACTACGGACAGGGCACAACAGACTTTACCAACATATGTTCAGACGTTTTGGTGTAGGAAACACGAAGATATGTCCCTGCGGCATGGCACCTGAAAATGCTGAGCATGTGCTCCAACACTGTCAACTGTATGCTGACAACAGAAACGCAATCTGGCCTGTTCCAAACCACAATGAAGACAAAACTGTATGGTACACAAGAAGATATGGACTGCATGATAGCTTTCATAAAGGCCACCGGCCTCCTGATATAAGTTTTCGGACAGAAGGATCGAAGAAGAAGAAGAAAAAGATACCATGATAATTTGGCTTCTTTTTCACATGTATTACTTCATTGTCAACAACACCCACACATGCCTTAGGACAAAGTACTCATCCGCTTCTTCTACAGATATAAATACTCGTCCGCTCCTTCTACAGATAGAAACACTCGTCCGCTCCTTCTACAGATAGAAACACACATCTGCTCCTTCTACAGATAGAAACACACATCTGCTCCTTCTACAGATAGAAACACACATCTGCTCCTTATACTTATAGAAACACACATCTGCTCCTTCTACAAATAGAAACACACATCTGCTCCTTCTACAGATAGAAACACACATCTGCTCCTTCTACAGATAGAAACACACATCTGCTCCTTCTACAAATAGAAACACTCATCTGCTCCTTCTACAGATAGAAACACACATCTGCTCCTTCTACAGATAGAAACACACATCTGCTCCTTCTACAGATAGAAACACACATCTGCTCCTTCTACAGATAGAAACACACATCTGCTCCTTCTACAGATAGAAACACACATCTGCTCCTTCTACAGATAGAAACACACATCTGCTCCTTCTACAGATAGAAACACACATCTGCTCCTTCTACAGATAGAAACACTCATCTGCTCCTTCTACAGATAGAAACACACATCTGCTCCTTCTACAGATAGAAACACACATCTGCTCCTTCTACAGATAGAAACACACATCTGCTCCTTCTACAGATAGAAACACACATCTGCTCCTTCTACAGATAGAAACACACATCTGCTCCTTCTACAGATAGAAACACACATCTGCTCCTTCTACAGATAGAAGCACACATTTGCTCCTTCTACAGAAAGACATATCCACTCCTTCAAATGGTGAAAAGGATAGCAAGGGATAGGACAATTTGGCCTGAGCTGGTTGAAGACCTACGCTCTCTTGATGGTTAGTGGGCAGAAAAAGACATTTATATGGAATGACAGTAGACAGTGCCACCCAATGAGTGCACCAACAGTGTGTGGTGCCCCATGTGAAAGATGATAATGTATTCTATGTTTGAGACATTGGGATTG